AGCATTTCAATGCTCTATATACATTTATTGGCTCCTGCTAATTAAACATAAACTGGACAGTTTTCCTATATATGTAATCTTTAATGTAACTGTTGGTCAATAGTGTAAAGGGTAGTCTTCTGTAAAGAATTTTTTGAGAAGTAATAACACTTGAAATTCTGCTGTCCAGCATATAAAAACACCTGATTTGCAAGTGAAATTCAGCTATCTTTTGCACAGATTCAAGCAGCTTTACAGGAGGGTTTTTGACTGGGTTTGTACATGCCATGTGTACCAACTGAGGAGCAGTGGTCCACCCAGAGATTCTTCTTTTCAGAGAAGGTGACTGATTTTTTTTTCCTTGTGCATCTGAACGGTGCTTGAAAACAATATGCTGCCATCACATCTTGTGTGAAGAAGAGTTGGAGCAGGAAGCCACCTTCTGACAGTGCGCAAGGTCCACTGCCTAGAGCCATCGCAGCAACACAGTATGTGATGGAGGGGATCTATAAACTGGCCTTTCTTGCCACAGAGCTTGTGTTGCTTGAGGCCTCGGTTAAGCGTGCCTACACAGCCAGCTCATTGCCGCTGTTAAAGAATGCTAACAGTTGTAAAAATGGGAGGTTTTGCAGCTGTCTTTTAAAATATGATGATGGATGCTTTGGATATGAGGATAGTCCATAATCGTATCACACTTCCTTCTTGTTCTGAAGAGACAGAGCAAAATGGCATATGAACCTACAGTCTCATTACGTAGAACAACCGGTTGGGTTTGTTTAGGACTGTTTATACCGCACATAGACAACAAGATGTGTAGCAGGGCATAGGAGATAGGAAGCTTCCTGCATGTCCTTGGGTTCACTCAAGAACTGGAACCAGTACAACTCCTGATAAGGGTATTCCATAAAGCATTCCAAGGTTATCAGAAGGGTTGCACTGTATCATAAAAGAAAAAAAAAAACCAAAAACCAGGTAGAATATAGCATGCAGAAGCAGTTTTCCAGCTCCTCCCATTGCAGCACGTAAGTGACACTGTTATAGTTAACTTTGGATTATCAATCACTGTGAAACAGAATGGGAAGGTTGTACATTTGAGCAGCTTTTTCACTGGTTTTGCATTCAATGATGAGGCTCTCAGAACAAATGCTAGACATGGAAATGGCAAACTACAGTGAAGTTTTAGATCCGACGTATACGGCACTGGAGTTCGAAACTATGCAGATTCTGTATAATGGCAACGGTGAGTTCTGCTCTGTGATGCAAAATCAAGCCAGTTAACAGAAAAAGTGAAGTTTAGTAATGCTATAAGGTGTTAGCTAAATGTTTTATTAATGGAGCATTTGGAGGTTGTTTTCAAACTACAAATCTGCTCTTTTACACTTCATCACTAACTCTAAGTTAATAACATTATAATTCTTTAACATTAAGGAAAATAAAAGAGAGGTTATATGTAGTAAAGTAACTGAACTGTACTGTCACCAGTCAGTTAATCAAAGGAAGAAAATGGTGTATTCAGCAGTTGTTTTATTTACTGTAAGACAAATGAATAACTAGTATTGACAGTTTGGACAAGAAAGTGTATTTCATATATAACATTTGGAAGGACAGGACAAAATTGTCCAGAGGCTTGTGAAAAAAAATTAGCTACCGTTTCTTGATGCCTAGTTTCTAATCATTGGACTAATATTTTATTTATTTAAATGTTAGCCTTTCTAGGTATGTATATATGTGAACTAGAGTGACTTTTTTAAAAAATCACATTGGTTTTCTAGAGGCTAATGTTTAGCTGTGAAAAACTATTTGCGTTTGGCTAATGTAACACTTTAACTTTAGGTGGAATTTTTAATGCAATAAATTTTTGAGAAATTGTATCAGTAAGTTATGCTTGAAATAGGAAGCACACCATTTCATTCTGCCATCATTGAGTACTGACCAAAAAAAAAAAAGGAAAATGTCAGTCTATTAAAGTAAAGAAAAGTTTCAGGCAAATTAAACTATTCTAAAATGGCTTTCCAAATCTTCTAATATACTTAAAAAATTGTTTTATTGTAGCATAAAGTATAATTCATAGATCTATTGTAGTATATATTTTTAAAAGGCAGAACAAATATTTAGTGATTTGCAGGAAAAATACTTAGCACCTGCATTTCCACATATTCCTGCCATATAGAACCTGTTAGTTTTTATTGTTGAGCTTGACGTTTTATCTGAATTTCTGATGTTACTTTACAGCAAGCTTAGTAAACAGAAAGGTAGATTTGGTTATTGATTTAGGAAGAAAAAACAGACCTTTATGCCCTAAGTGATTTTGAAGCTATCAACAATGATTATGTAACTTTTAGATGATTCCTCTGCTTTTTGTTCTAATAGGGGTGATTTCATTGGTCTTTTTTTTTTTTTTTTGCTGAATAGCACCCTTTCAGATCTGTTAATGTTACATAAAATGGGAAAGCAGATTAGGGAGGTTATGCTGTGTTGCATTATGTGTTGGTGATAGAGCTAGTTAAATTATTCACTGTAAGTGATTAGTTTGACAATTATTAGTTAATAGGTGTAGCCTTTTTCTGTTTAGAGTTTGCTTTGAGTTTAGCCTAAGTATTTTCTTACAGAATTTATGAAAACTTTGACTTGTAGCTACAGTGCTAGTCTGAAACTGAAAGCTGCCTCTTATGAACCTTCCTACGTGTCTTTTCTAGCTGTCTAAACTAATTAGAAACATTCAGAGAAGTTTAACAAGCTACATTCAGGCAGATTATGCAGTTCTGTTGAAATCAAAGAATTTTGCAAAATCAGGTCAATTTCCCAGACATTTTGTTTCAGAATAATACCAAGGAAAATAAGTATATCCTTATATATATACACACAACTTATATTGCTATGAAATATTTCATCATTAAATTTAAATATTATATTTTTAATTATTCTGCTGTATCGTTATGATGCAAAATTACAAAACTCCAAAAGAAAGGTTTTATATTTTTCTAGCTAAAGTAATTCTATAATCCATTTAAAAAAATAATTTTCCAGTCATGACAAACCTATTTTTAAAATAAAATCTTTACAGAACTGAATTCTTACCTTCAAGATTTCATTTTTTTAAAATCAATTTTTAATATAATTCCTATCAATTATGTCTCTGTAAAACAGAAAAAAACCTTCCTTCTTCTCTCTTTGTCTAAAGAACTCTGTTTAAATTGCAAACTCTTCGGGACACAATGGAAATTTTATAATATAGTTGTGTAATACATTTCAGTTGGATCTAGTACGATATGAATAATGATATGTATCAATGTTAACAGTTTTACTTTTCAACCTGTCCACTGTTCATGAACTCATGTACCTGACTTTTGAATGCATGTTTGAATAACTAATTAGTGTGGCACTCTTTCGTCTCCCTGACAGAACAACTACAAATATTTAGGGCATATTGCAAACAGCTTTCCTTTCATAGAACCAGAAGCATAACAGAAAAAGTTATTTTGCAATTATTTCTTTGAACATGGCTGTTAAACATTGTGACTCAAAGAAGAATAAATATGTCTGTTTTGATTTCAGGTGAATTTCTGCAGTATTGTTTAGCATATTCAGTGACTAATTGTTAATCATGTAGCTAATATTCTCTTGCGCAAGTAAAGTCTGCACCAATGTTCCTTTGGAAAATTTGTTCAAGGAAATAACACTTAAACAGTCCTCTTAGCAAGCATTTTTTTTTTCATTGTGTTGTGCAAAAACTGAATTGTCTTTTTTTTTTTTTTAATGTCACATATGCAGTTGTATCTTTGTATGATATTTGCCAGTTATTGCCAGCTCCTATGAGAACTGATATATGAGATCTTTGCCAGCTAACTAGGCAACACTGCTTTGTGCCAAAGTTCCTCTTCATGTTACTAAGAATGTATATGTAATTATACATGCAGGGTTACACTTTAATTTTTAACCCTTTTCAGCTGGAAAGAGTTTAGAATAAAATTATTTGTTGTTGCAAACTTCATAAATTCTGTTAACATCTCTATAACATTGAAAGTGTTCATCTGAATAAGAACCAGATGTAATCAGATGCACCATGCTATATAAATAGTAAGTGGCAATTAAAAGAGAAAAGGCCAGAAAAAGCCTCCATTTAAGTACAAATGGTTCATGGGGTGGTTGTTGAAAATCTTGTCCATAACTATGTATGTTGTTCTTGCCTCTCCTCAGACAGTTTAGGAGAAGCTGTCAACATGAATGCTGCTGACAACGGGGTCAGTAGTCTCTGTGCAATATGTGGAGACCGAGCGACCGGAAAACATTATGGTGCTTCCAGCTGTGATGGATGCAAGGGATTCTTTAGACGCAGTATACGGAAAAATCACGTCTATACATGCAGGTATTTCAAAAGTTCACCTAGAGGCACTAAATTAATGAATTTAAGGAAAAATTACATTCAGAGCTTTTCAGACTTTTTAAAACTATGTCAGGATATTTTCAGCTTTTTTTTAAGGAATTCTAACCAGCATTTTTGATGAGCATGTGGTTCATGGTATATTCTTATGATTGGAAAAAATGTCTTTTATTCAAGACTACTTGATATTACACATTCCAGATACTACGTTCCAGATGTCTGTTGATATTGTTGACATCATTACATCACTCAAGAGTTGTTTCACTCTTTTATTTATGATTACAAAGGTCATCTCCTGAAAAAAAAAAAAAAAAGAAAAATACTCGTATTTTCACTGGCAATGTGAAAAGTGTAATTCTTAACTGTTTTCTAAAAATTCTGTTCAATTTTTTTTTCTTATGAAGGCAGTTTCTGAATAGAAAGTCTAAGATTTATAGTCTTGTTTTAAGGGCTGTACAAGCACATCTGCACATCTTCTCACTTTGGGTGACACACTGCTCTTTTGAGTGACCCTTTTCCCCCCGTCAGTCTGAAGGGCAACCTGCTAATTTCCGCGTGTCTGGCTGCCCAAATTATCACACTGCAGGTCTGTGCACCATGTTTGACGAAGTGCTCTGAGCATGCACAAGTCCATAAAATGTCAGTTTTAAGCCATGCACAGAATATACGGAAAACTCTGTGAGTTTAGGCGAATCACTAAAGGAGCGGACTTTCTGTAAGAATGGCTTGTTACTGAAAATGTTTGCTACACTCTTCCTTGGTTGCTTAATACTCTTACAAGGAAATCTCTCCCTTATAGACATACTACGGTGATATAGCACAGACATACCCCTAAAGTGGTGTGACAAGAGCTGATATAAGTGATTTCAAGAAGAGCTCTGCAAAACCTAGATCTATTTATCTAACAAACACATGCACAGCAAAAAGGCAGAAGCAAACGGTGGTGGGGGTATTTGGCTTATATGCATTCCCCTTAGGCACACCTGTAGTTGTGCATGAGAGCTTGGGTAAGCCTTCTTGCAGCGTCACGCTCTGTGTGTTTCCTCATGTCTTTATTTCATTGTGGTGTTAGAAAACTTTCCTTCTGTTTCCTGTTTAGGTTGTCATCTGTAATGATACAACAGGTAGCTTGTTCATTGGTATCTCCCAGAAGGAGTAAACTTTGCCAGCCAAGGGTACTGGTTTTGCAGCTAAGGGCTCCTCCATGCCAGTGACACTTGGCATTTTCCTTGATTGTCCTTTCCTTTTTCTATTTGTAGCTTTTCTTCTTTTTTTCCCCCACCGCCATTTGACACAGCCAGTTACTGACGTATCTCACAAATAAACTGAGGTGTAAATGATGCACGTAACTGCAAAATTTTCCACGCTTGCCCATTCCAATGCATATATGTGTCTATGCACACACATATATTCCTGCAAACTAAGCAGGTATGAAACACTTCTCAAGACTGATTAATAAAAAATAATTAAAAAAAAAAAAAACAACAGAAGAAGGAAGTCTGTGGTTATAGACATTGTTCTGACAAGCCAGATTAGTTGGTTTGGTTTTTTTTTCTTCATAATCAGGCTGCTGCTTTATTAATGCTTTATACATTTACCTTTTCTTGTCTCTGATAGATTCAACCGGCAATGTATTGTTGACAAGGACAAAAGGAATCAATGCAGATATTGTCGTTTAAAAAAGTGTTTTGGAGGAGGAAGGAAAAAAAAAGGTAATAGAATCATTTATTATTTGATATACAAAGAGAAATAATCTGAATTAGTTTTAAAATGTAATAAAATTCTAAAAAACTCTGGCAGAATAATTCAATGGAGAGTCTGCTATAGTGCCTATAATGATGGAGAAGTGCATTTATATTGAGGTGAAATATGTGTCATCTAATTTTCAGGTGGGTAAGCAGTTCTAACACTTTGAGCATTAACAAATCTATGGGTTTGAAGTGAATTTGCAACTGTTTAATCCATGAATCCTGGCACCAAAATTCATTGATTTCTAAGTGTTGACTCATATCCTGGAAGAGTTCAAAGTGTGAGATATTAATTCTAATTTTTACCAAATTTGAGCGATAAAATCTCTATCTCGGATTTTGTTTCTACCCTACCTAAGTAATGAGAGTGCCAATTTACTGGTTCTTCCATTAAATTTAAATGTTTGAAGCATTTAAGCTAGAGGAAGGAGTGTGAAGTTCAGAGAAAAAGTAGTGGTGAGAACAGTAGTGTAAGCTGTCAGTGGAGTGTCCACATTAATTGAAAAAATTTCTAATCTCATTAGGGCTTAATGTGGGAAGATTGTTACGCATCTCACTGACAGACATGAAGAAACATGGGTGTCACAGTGATCCTCCTGTCAAAGTGGAAGGACCAGATGACCGCAAGAGCAGAGCAATAGCAAAAGAAAGGCAGTGGGAGTATCAGAGGATTTTTGTATTGGGTTGTTGGGACTGTTGGTTCACTGGCAGTTATGATGTAGAGGTAAAAGGCATCCTGATCTGGTTCAAATAAGCACTCAAAAATGGTTCTTTCATTACAAACTTTGCCACCTGTTTTGTTGGGAGCATGGCGTATGCCTGAAGGCCAGTCTGCAACGTGAGGTGCGCAGTTCTCCTGTACTGTAACTAGTCTATAATATTTTTAGGCTATACATAGCTTTCCTAAGATAAAGGAAGCTGTTTCTTTATGCTCTTATATGTCTATACTATAGTACTGCTCTGCTAATGATCAAGTTTTGGTATGAGATAAAACGGATTTTCTCCTTGCAGCTGGATGGGGATATTCTAAACAGAGTTACACTATGTATGTATGAAATAGTTCTTGTGGATCGCCTTGAACACAGTTTAGCGTTTTGGAATTTGAGCCATTAAAATCAGTAACCTATTGTAAATATATTATCAATCTGATATGAAGAAAAGGGAAGACCTGTGTGTCCACAGCAGCCCTAAAAGTTTTGCAAAAAGCAGAGGCTCACAGACTTTCAAAACCTGGAATTGAAGAATGGTATAGCTCAGAAGGGACATCTGGAAGTCATCTAGTCCAGGCCCCCATTTAAAGCAAGGATAACTTCTAGGTTCAGTCAGGGTGCTTGGGACCCTGTCCAGCCAGGTTTATACAGTCCTTGAGAGGGGAGATTCCACAACCTCTCTTGGCAACTTCTTCCAGTGCTTGACCACCCTCACTGGGAAGAGTTTTTTCCTTATATCTAATTGGAATGTGTCTTTCTGCAATTAGGGTAGTGTTCATTGCCTCTTGTCCTTTCACTGTGCATCTGAGAAGAATCTGGCTCCGTTTTCTGTAAACTACAGAAATTAAGACCCTCACCTCTGCCTTGGTCCTCTCTTTTCCACATAAACAGAGATGCCTCTCTCTGCTTCACCTTGTGTCTCTTGTGGGTTACATCTCCATAGCCCTCCGCTGGACACTGCCCAGTTTTCCAATGTCTTTCGTGTACTGGGGAGCCTAAAACAGAGAAATACTCACTTCCCTCAACATGCTAATGCAGCTGGGTGCATGGCTAGCCCACATCGCCATGAGGCACGCTGCTCACTCATATTTATGAAGCGGAGATATATCCTGCACAAAACTTTTAACCTAATTTACACCGCTCTGCCTCTACTGGTCCCACTACCTATAAAACTTTCATTTTTCATTGCGTCTGAGCGATGTTTATTCAAGGCTTCCCAGTGCTAAAATAATTCAAAACGCTGAACTGTAAATTTCACTGCTTGTGTGTTGTTATATACCTCTCTACACCATCACGGGATGTCTTATAGCATAGTCTATATGATAGTTTCTCAGCTTGTTTCTAGCAAATCGCTTTCTTTTCTTCAGGCTGAAGGCTTCAGCTGGTAAAAGCTATACAAACTCTCTTTGAGCAAATATTCCCTCTTCCTCATGGAGTCTCTGTTTAAGGCAGTTTTAGCCTGAACTGACAAAAAGGCCTTACCAAGACAGACAATCCGGTCTAATAATCCAAAATTGTGCATATGCAGGAGAAAATTGAAGCATTTCCCTATGATTCTCAAAGTGCTCCACCAGTGACTTTCACTAGTGATTGTCAGAATAACTTACTATTTTTCTAATACTAATCAGCGCTGACCTTATTTTAATTATCTATGTAGCACTTAAGCTGCTGACATTCAGTGAATTTTTTTTCTCCATTCTTTTAAAAAAGGTTATATTTTTTGTTTCCTGTCTACATGAACATTTAGCACTTTGTGTTTATCACTGCACAACATTTCTTACTGTGACCTTAATAAAAGGCCCATCAGTGAGTGTCCTTGGCAAAAAGTTAGTACACCTCTGGAATAAACTATGTGCATTGTTCAGATAAACCCTGAAAACTATTCAGTGTATAGAATATTTTATTATTTTATTGAAGCCTGTGGTACTACTCCTAAATTCTGTAATGCAGATTGTTTCCCACAAAACAGCAAACATATCTTTGGAAATAAAGCTGCTGCTCTTAAAAGATGATGAGATTCCTTGTGCAATAAAAAGATTTTGATCAGCACAATTTTTTTTTCTTTTCTTTTCTCCTTGGCCTAACCTTGGACATGATCTAGGTTTTAGAAAAATCTGACTGATAGTTTTATTTTTTCTTCTTTCAATTCAAAAGTAAGCCCTGTTGTTTCATAAGTCTTGCATGCACTGATTAAGGATTCCTTATCCAAAGCCCTTTCAACTGCCTTTTTTTGGACACCATGAGACAAAACTTAATGGCCTGAAACTTTTTTGGTGCTTTTTTTTTTTTTTTTTAACTTAGTTAAGGTTCTGTAAACTGGCTAGGTGTGCAATGTCACTGAGGAGGAGCATGACATTTAAGTTTCAATATTATCTTACCAGTGGATTTAGTTCATGATTCATTCCCGTTTCAGGGTTTCTCACAGGAGAGCAGGAGTAGGGCTTTCACACTTCCTCTGACTGAAACATTTTGTGAGTGGTGGTGCTGTACCTCTTGACCTGTTCAGCAGTCTGGAGATGTCCATTTCTACCATTATCATAAAGCCTCCCTTATTAAATTGGTTAAAGTAACAAAACACCAGCATGTGTTCAAGTTCAAAGGAAGAAAGAGGTTTTACTGTAATAAAGCCAGTCACAAAAGTGCTGATAATTCAGTATCTATCTACAATTAGTTATACGTAGTTTTTACAGGCAAACAGTATACAAAGACCATAAACATGTATTGTCATCCGTCCTCGTTACTCAAAGCAAAAAGCACAAGGTCTTTTTTGAATGTCGTACCTTTTGATTCTTATAGTTATCTAGTAAACTTCTGAAATGATATTATGTGGCAATGTCTACAAGTCAATAAACGAGGTGATTATTCTTTTCCAGCTGTACAAAATGAACGGGACAGGATAAGTACGAGAAGAAACACCTTTGATGGCTGCAACATTCCCTCTATTAGCACATTGTCACAAGCTGAGGCACTCTCCCGTCAGGTACTGAGATCTACCACAAAATTATTTGATGACTTTTTCTCTAAAGTTAAATACTTTTCAGTTTCTTATTGTATTAAATATAATTATTGAGATTACTTTTTTCCACTTCCAAAATGCACCCAGCTTCCTCTTCCCAATGAAAGAATGAGTAATAGAACACATTCTTAAAGCAAAGTCAATAAAAAAAAATTCTACTTTGTCCAGGACAATATGTCCTAGGCACCTTTCTTAATAAAGCTTTATGGTTCTTACTGCTTTTAAATCAGTTGCTGTCTCAGGCAGCTGGTGGCATCTATCTATCTTTGAAGCTGGCTTTCCCATGAAACATTAGGGAAAAAATTGTCCAAAGCCATTACATTCAAAGGAGTGTGGACACTCATTTCCTTACATTCTTTTGAAAATCCCATTTTTAATATCCTTAGACATTATATATAAGGCAAACAGAAGTGTTCCAACAGCAGAGTCTATTCACATCTCACTTTTAAATTTTCTTTGTCTCATCTGAACTTCATTTCCCTTTTTTTTTTTCCCTATCCAATCAATTGCTGAATGGAAGTCTCCAGTCCTTTCCTGCACCTCAGATAAATCACAGTCATTGATTCTGCATTCTTGCACCTCTTACTAACTTACTTAGAATTTAACTGCAACCTTTATGATTTCATGCTGACTGATTTATACATCCCCAAATGTTTTGTAATCTCACCCTTTATCAGCATCTCTCTTAGGGTGGAACTGTCTGTAAAGAATTGATGCAGGAATTACTGGGTGATAGTCTTTGGCACATATTGCATGTCTGGGCAGACTAGATGAACATAATGGACTTTCTTACCTTTCATACCTATACAGTATGAAAAATATACCTATTTTTACCTCCTTAGTAATTCTTTGAACTTGCTTATTGTGCTTTTTTTGTGTTACTCCCTTAATCATTTCCAACTGGTATATACAATTCAGGAATAAGAGCTGTCTTAAACAGAATCACATCCTCAGCCTTTCCTGCCACAAAGTTGTTTTCAGCCAGTAGATTCCTGGCCTAAAACATCAGCTTGTGTATACACACAAATTTATTCTACTTATTATTTGGTATGTTGTAGTAGGAGAGAATTGCTCCCACTATGTCAAGCATATGTACAAGCATATACACTCTTGGCCTCAAAGACCAAGAGGTCACATTAACATGACCGAAAAGTAGTCTTAGAAGTCCTTGTTTTTCCCTCAATCGAATGGGTCTGTAAGATGACTTCAGTCCTGAGGAGAGACTTGGAGGAGGTGGTAGTGTCACAAATCATTGGCCAAGTCCTTCAGCTGTGAAATGAGGAAGAAGGTGGCACTCATCCCTTTTAAAATTTTTATATTAAAATAGGGAAAATGAATTATTTTGTCCCTCAAGATCCCTTACAGGGGGAAATTGTCCAAGTACAATGTTTCTCCTACAGACCCAGGAGAGGCTTCCTGGATTGTGTAAATATGAAAGGGACATGCTGGACTCTCGTAGGAGTAAAGGCATTTGTCTCTGATGGTTCTCAGAATGATAGAGATATAGTGTTATATTGTCATGTTCATCAAGTCATTAATGGGTACATGTTGCACCAGGAGAGGTTTCATCTCGATATAAGAAAGAAATTTTTTACAGTGAGAACAACCAATCACTGGAACAACCTTCCCAGGTATGTGGCGGAGTCCCCATCACTGGAGGTTTTCAAGATGCGATTGGACAGGGTGCTAGATAATCTCATCTAGGCTCCCTTTCCCACAAAAGGTTGAATGAGATGGTCTTCCAAGGTGCCTTCCAACCTCGGCTGGTCTGTGATTCTATGAAGTCAGCGACTCCTGTGTTGCACCCTGGAAATGAGAGGCAGGTTAAAGTAATAGATAAATAGCAAAAGGGAAGTTCACAGCTTCATGTCCTTGTGAAGAGATGCAACCCTAGGAGTTCATAATGAACTCCATGGGAGTCATCCTATGAATCCCCAGCAGAAGCTCACCAAGTAATTTCAGCACAGAGTCTCTAGTTTGTCCTATAAGATGTAATTTATAAAGATGCATAGCTTTGATTAAAAGATATTAAAGGAAGGACAATGTTTTAAGTTCATGAGTCAGTAAGTCTAATGGTTAAACAATCTGCCTGTTCTTTACCTTCTTGAATTAACTTCTAGTTGGTGCATGGTGGTATCTTTTTCTGGTAGATCAGAGTGCCTCCTGCTATCAGAACCCTCTTCTCTGTGTAGGTATTTTTGAATCATGATCAAGACTCCTCTTACTCTTATGGAAAAAATGAAATATATTGAAGTTCTTTACTCCTTCTGTACTGAAGGTTTTCTAGACTGAATCATTCTGGTAGCTTTCACCTGAATGATATTCAGTATTTTCAACTTCGTTTTTGTTGAACAGATGCCAGAAATGGACTCATGATTACAGCAGGGATTTCACAAATGCTCTGTCTACAAAGAGACAATACCTCTAACCTTTTTCCTACATGATAGCCTTTGAATGATGTGTCTGAGGATTTTTTCACTTGCCTAGCTGCTGTATTTCCCTGAGAACTGTTCAGCTGGTTAACTACCATTAATATCTAAGCTGTTTTCAGTGTTTTAGACTACTGAATTATGTAGGAAGCACGGAGCTTTAGTTCAGAAGTGCAGCTCCTTTTGACAACCCAAGGATAACAGGGTTTCACCACAGATCCCACTGGGGGTTTTAACATGGAACTGGGAATGAAGGGGATCTGGTAGGAGTCAACCTAAATAGCATCCACCATCCTGAAATTTGTAGGTAGACAGTATTGGAAGATAAAACAATTTTTTTTTTTTTTTTGGTGGGGGTATATAATCAAACTACAGAATTTCCTGAGTATGCTTTCTGTAATAAAATGTAAAGTGAAAGTCAGTTTCATAGGCCTTGTACGGTGGTGGGGTTTTGTTGTTGTTGTATCTATGTAAGCATGTTATAACTTCAGTACTGTTATAAAAGATAAAATTTTCCTCCTTTTGTCTGCATGGTGAGTTTACTGTGTCTTTTTAAACCTGTGACACAGAGAAAACAGAAAGTGTACTGGAAGAGATAGAAGGGAAAACTATCATATTGAATCAGAAATACAGAATAAACTTTAATGAAATTATTTTTTTTTAAATTACATTTTAAGTATTACTTCCTCTGTTCTCAATTGTAAAAATGTTTTAGGCTAGATGAAGTGAAGAAATTATTTGTGTTTTTTCCCGGTGTCTTAGCAGAGGGTTTTTCTTTTTTCTTTTTTCTTTTTTCTTTTTTCTTTTTTCTTTTCTTCTTTTTCTTTTTTCTTTTTTTTTTGTCTTTCTTCTTTTTCTTTTTCTTCCCTGGTATCATAGCAGCTATAAACTGACCTCTTCTCAGGCTTGGTTTTATCTTAAGTTGTCTTTCCTGCCTGGCTTAAGAGCAAGCCTGGTTTTGTTCCTTTCCTTGAAAAGTCATTAAGAATTTCAGGATTTGGCTCAGTGATTATGTGAAAGTGCCTCAGCTTCAGGCCCAGAAAGATATTGCTCTCTTCTTATTTCACAGAACACCATTCACTGCAGGTGGTCTAATGCACACTCATATCCTTTACATTTGCTCTGAAACATCTCAGGTCTCCGCCTATACTGCTGCTTCATCATTACAAACCATTCTCCTCCAGGCACTAAAAAACCCCTGTTTTACCTTCTGAAGTTAATGATACTTATCTTTTCACTAGAAGAACATGCTACCCCTTTATCTCTCTCTTTCTTTGCCCTTAATGTTACTGCATGCCCCTATGGGCTCTTTTTTTATTCTGAAATGAAGTAAATGCCAACCATTTTAAAGGAAAACCACCTCCCCCCTACAAATAATAAGGGCTCTGGTGTATTTAAAAATAGTATTCTGGAATGAGAAGATATTGTATCATGATATGAATAGTGTAATTTTTAACATACTGTAATACACACTGGTTATAACAAGAAATAAAATTTTATAATTTACGTGCAGACTAATGGTCCCTACAGTCAAGGAATTTCTCAAGAGTATGCATGATTAGTGCTGTGATTTTTTCTTAAATATGCTGTTAACCAGTGAAAATGCAATTATATGAAATTTAACATTGTTAATTTTTTCTCTTACTATGGCCAGATCTCAATCTCCAGTCCTGGTGCTAGCACTGACATAAATGTTAAGAAAATTGCTGGTATTAGTGATGTCTGTGAATCTATGAAGCAACAACTTTTGGTCCTGGTGGAATGGGCTAAATATATTCCAGGCTTCTGTGAATTACCACTGGATGACCAGGTATAAGAGGAGACCAAAGAGAGAACTTTAATTACTGTCCTGTTATTTCTGTGATATTTAAATGTTATGATTAAACACTCATTTTTTGTGTGATGAAATACAGCTGGGTGCTAGACCCACCATCTTAAAATTTTGTAAAGTTTTGAAATAGCACTACCACAAAACAACAGAGGAAGTTGATAAGGCTCTAACACATTAACAAAAAGAAGCAGCAAACCGGTATGTCTTTCAGTGTTTTGTGCTTTCTATATTCTTTTGGAAGCAGAGATGCCAAGCCGCATGCTAAAATGAAAAAAATCTTGTAAAAAAAGTCATGCTTTTTTCTGACCTTGCAGAGTATTTCTTTCATGTTCACTTTCATTACAATATGGTTTAAGACAGCATGTTATTTAATTCGAAGCAGGTCTTCTCTACTTGCAAAAAGTATAAGCCATTAGAATCTCAAACAAATGCTAAACATACTGATATCAATCCATAGCAAAAAATCTTTCATATAATACAATGTACTAAAATTATATTGTATATAATGAGTGTGGGGGAAAAAAGCATCAAACCTTGAAAATTCTTAAGGCTTTTTATGACAGAGGTCTGATCTATCATCACATCTGTAATATATCCTAATACATCACTGGGTTTCAGAGTAAGTTGTGCTGGCACACTCAGAACCAGTGTCTCCACGTTGCAGTAAACAGTTCTCTCACTGGCTGCCTGGGAAGGAGGTTAATTCATGACTCAGGATGTCTTGATACCAGTCCACCAAAATCTGATTCAGCTTGAAAATGACTCTGTAAAGTGGAATTGAGTAATTCCTCCTTTTTGCCTCTTCAGTCTCTGTTTTTAACAAAACCTTGCAAGAAGGGTTAGATCAGCCTTGGGTTTGAGACTCAAACTGAGCTACTTCCCTCTTATACTCTTCCTCAGGAATATGGAGGTGTTTCAGGCCACAGGAGACCCCCCAAAATAGGAGCTTAATGATGTCTTTGCAGACCCACAGAATATGATATGTGTGCACAAGCTCAGCATACTGGAATAAGTTAAAAATCTGTTCATGTGAAAGGAGAATTTTAAATGCATTGGTTACACAAGGGCAACAAAAGCAAGCAAAAATATTGCTGTTTTTGTTGTTAAGATGGCATGAAGGAAAAGAGAAAGGATCAGACCTCATTAAAAAGTTCCTGGCTGTATTTAAAAAAAAAAACTATCAGCTTAGAAAGATAGGCTGAAAACACCCCTGCAGTGCTTGAAGAGTACACGCTGGGAAATACTATGGAACCTTAAGTACCTTAGAAGAGTAGTGACAAAGGTATTGGGAGTTAAAACAAATGCCACTTTTGCATTTGCGATAGCCTCTTTCTAAGGGGCATTGTGCATTTAGTTATAAAATAAACCATCTGGTTGTGAACAAATGATTCCTGAGCTGGGGATCAGCCTGATTTACAAACCATAGAGCAGGCCAGAGCAGATAAGCTAACTCTACTGAGAACCTGAAAAGTTTTAACACATTAAGTATTCCTAGGTTCTGTGTACCTTTACACCACTCATAAAGTATTGGCTTGGATTCGTAAGAAAAGAATTACTTGCCAAGAGAGGAGTTCCTTGAGGAAATAGAGGCTAGTGCTGAAGTTTCAAGCAGACATTAAAAACAAAGTAAATAGGTGACAAAGAGTAAACTAATGACCACATCTTTAAGTGCCTTCCTGGTATGAATCAGGTTTCTTCCTTGTTGACAGTAGTGGATATTTTAGCATATCTGGCTTTGTTGGGGAAAAAGGTTTTTTAAGTGCCACATAAATTTTGGTTCAAGGTGAGAAAAATGAAACACTGATAGTGCTGAATTTACTGTAACAGTTCCTTCCAGCCCACCGGAGTCTTTAGTGTCAACTTAAAATTCCAGAGAAAACGTTGTTAAGGGAATAGGCACTAGGAAATAAATGCAAGTATTGTATTTATTGAGAAGTATTTTGCAGAGCCATATGTTTAAAATCTAGACCAAATGCTACAAGTGACAGAGGATCACAATTTAATTATAGTGTGCTGTTAGTATGGTGCTAAGGTTTTTACATTCACTTTACATTTTACATTAGAATCTTAACAGTCTTAAACATATACCTATAGCTGAATACACTCACAGTAATATGCATCCTCATTTCTTTTGCCCATATTGGAACTTACTGCTTTTTCTTCTAATGAGTCTGCTGTTTTTTTCTTGAGGTTGCCCTGCTAAGAGCACATGCTGGGGAACACCTGTTGCTTGGAGCAGCAAAACGGTCCATGGCATATAAGGACATTTTACTTTTAGGTAAATATTGGTTTTGTTTTAATTAACAATGATGATGTTATAGTACATTAGCAACCATGTAATCACTTAAGTGGGACAACTGTTCAGGCACAGTCAAAGCAATGCGTTCTGTGAATGCTAAATAGCTATTAATGACATAATGTCACATGCCCTGTTCCAGCAAAAGCAGGTGGACAGTTTCCTGTGAGTTAATACAGCTAAAGGTTTATTGGATACCAGAAACCACAACTTAAGGGAGTTCCTGGCAAATTGTCTCCTTACTTCAGCATCCTTTCTGCACCTTTGCCCCATAAAAAAACCAGAACAAAACAACAACAAAAAACACCCATAAAAACCCTTCGCTTAAGAGAGAAAAAGCCAACCTGTGGCCTATGTACTAATTTCGGCCGTCATGAAAATCATTTATCTGGAGCTTTCCCAAGAGCCCTTCAGACATAGTCAGAGGAGACCCTACAGGCTAGAAAATTGGATAGCCTGTTCCCTGCAGCTCGCTTTCCCAAGAGCCCTCTCTCTGCTGCCTTGACAGTCGCCACGTGGCCGTCATGTAAACAGCATGCCTGTTGTCCCCTGCCATGTGGGAGATGGGTGCATACATGGCAGGGTGAGGAGTCACGCCTGCATAAGCATGTTCTTGTTCACTTGAAATGGCTCCTTAGGGAAGGGGACATCGTCGCGTGGTGGAAGCATGTCTTCCCTTCATTCACACAACAGAGAGGCACAGTAATACGATGAGATGTGTGCCTGTGTGTATAGTGATGCGATGAGGCATTTGTTAGCGCTGTTTGACACAGTACTCTGCCAGTCTGAAGTGCACCCTGCCAAAAACGGTCTTATTAAACATGTGCAGCACTCGGGCTGTTTTGTGAGAAAATGTGTAGGTCTTCTCAGACAGGATTTTTGATGTGAGGCAAGACTATGAGGAATATGTACTCAAACTAGTTTCTTCGCTGGTGGTGTGGTATAAGGGGGGTTTCCACCACTTGTTCTCCTTCCTCTTTGGGCCTGCCTTTTCATAGCTCTTAATCAACTTGAATTTATTTTTACACATATCGTAACATTAAAGGGACAGGAAGGGCTTGTTCTGGAGATACTACTCTAACCAGCAATCCTTTCAAATTAAAAACTGTACCAATTACCTTCTTAACCTAGTTCTTTCTCTAGATACAGTTTTGCTGACAAAATTAACAGAAATAAAAAGGAAATATTTGCAGTTTTATTGGGATTAGTAGGTAATAAGGACAAATAAGGAGAAAATAATAAGCAGAAAATTATAGTCAACATCACTAACATCAGCATATATACTGAAAGAAGAAACAACTTGAGGCTCCAAGGCTTATTTCTGATATTTGGAGGTAGATATCTGTAGAGCTTATGGATCATTTTGGCATGGATCTCTTGTGATATAATCATCAGCCTTTCTTTCAAAAACTGCTTGGTGGCTTCTGGAAGTTCTGTGGCTTTCCCACTTATGCTAGATGATTTCTGGACAGAAGGTGAATTAAGATGCCATGATGGAGACATCCCCAAAATGAAAATTTAAAATTAAAAGAGCAGGGAAAATTCATTCTTTACTGAAAATTTTAAGATGCTTCTAAATTTTATTAGGAATACTAGAAGCATCTGTTAGAAACATTCCCGGTGCCTCCTCTGGAAGAAGGCTTCTTTGTCCATTGACAAATCCTGATCATTCAGCTTGGGATATATTATTCTAATGGGGGAAGATGACATTTTAAGATCAGTTTACCATTATATTTATCTATTATGTAAAGATAAAGGCCTACTTGCTCCATCCTTGTGCATTCAAATATGGACCTCAGTCTTGTGGACTAATCAGTAACTGTATATGTTGGCATATTTACATGCACAGATTATTTATGGGGTAACAGCTGTATTTTGCACATATACTGTACTTACAAAGAACACTTTTGTATGATACCAAGGAGAGTTATTACTTAAAACAATATTAAACAATTTGTTAAGCAAAATAAAAGGTGCTTTTGAAAATGGGCTACATCTAGTACATTACATCAAAGTCTTTATATCAATCCATATGTTGGTATTCTTTCTCTCCAAGGCAACAATTACATAATCCATCGCAACAGTACTGAAGTAGAGATCAGCCGAGTGGCAAATCGGATTCTAGATGAACTAGTTCGACCCTTCCAGGAAATTCAAATAGATGACAATGAGTACGCCTGCTTGAAAGCGATTGTGTTTTTTGATCCAGGTACCTTTTCGAAAATATCTCTCAATTGTTGTACACGTGATTATATTGAAAGTGATTTTTGTTGATGTAGCATCTGCTCATGTTATCTAGCTGGATGGAAAAGAATAAAATGAAAAAAGTAAGATGCTCCTCCCAAATCATAATCTGCCTTGACTTTAAGTTTTGTTATTTTTTAAGATGCAAAGGGCCTGAGTAATCCAATGAAGATTAAGAACATGCGGTTCCAAGTCCAAATCAGTTTAGAGGATTATATTAATGACCGTCAGTATGACTCCCGAGGAAGATTTGGAGAACTTCTGCTTCTACTGCCTACACTCCAGAGCATCACTTGGCAAATGATTGAGCAAATACAATTGGTTAAATTATTTGGAATTGTTAAAATTGACAGTTTGCTTCAGGAAATGTTACTGGGAGGTAAGCTAATAACTTGTTAAATTTACCATGTCGTATTATGTTGAATTTAGCATACTGGGACGTTGAGGGAATCATGGTGTAAGCAAGCACTTTGACCACTGCCTTGCTGGCTGAGCTTTGAGTCATATGATTGTTAGCTAAAGCCTTCTTGTCTTGGCTGCTCATTTTGTTACCGTCCTACAACCTCAGATTGTGCTGTGTACTTCTCAGTCATTGCTGGGTATCTAGACATACAACTCTCTAGGCAGATGGAAGAATCCTTACAAATATTTAATGAAATCCACTGTCAATGCAGTCAAAACAGTGAAAATAAACAGTGCTTAATACAGTTGAAGTCTGGTTAAATTGTTTAATGAATACCCAGAGGCAATTATTCAAATTGCCAATCAAAATATTTGCTCTACGGAAATGTAATTATTGCAGTATAAGTCGTTGGCAACAACATGCTCTTTTGAATTGATATGTGCTCATGTTATTTTTGCAGGTACTTCTAATGATGCCAGTCATCTGCATCATCCAGTACATCCTCACTTAGCCCAAGATCCATTAACTGGCCAAACTATCCTCATAAGTTCAATGTCTGCTCCTGTACATACAGAACAGATTTGTAAGTAATTGCAAGTTAGCCTTCTGTCATAACATTTCACTGTTACAGTTAAAAATATTAATTAGAATGGTGGCCTGTCAGTGCTCATAGAGTTATTTCATCATCATTCTTAAATTTAAATAATTGTGCATTAAAAACATATGTATATAAACAGTCTTAAATGAAAGACTTTGACCTGAATTTAATCTAAGTTTAAAAATTCAGCATCATTCTGATGTATCATTGATTTCACATACACAATTTTTAATAAACTAAAAATTCTGGTAATTAAAATATCCTATTTACCCAGCATGCCAAATGTAACAGAACTTCCTTTTGGGGCAGGAGTAGGTATATGTGTATGCAGAGTCGGCCAGAATATAAAAATACGTAATTCTTTCTATATTCTTTTTCAGCAACTCCAGAAACTCCATTACCTTCCCCTCCTCAAGGCTCTGGGCAAGAATACAAAATGTCTACAAATCAGGCTTCAGTCATTGCACAGCAATCGATTTTGAAACAAAAACCATTGTGATAATGTTTCTCTGTCTGTCTTGCCCTTCCTTCCTTCCTTCCTTCCTTCCTTCCTTCCTTCCTTCCTTCCTTCCTTCCTTCCTTCCTTCCTTCCTTCCTTCCTTCCTTCCTTCCTTCCTTCCTTCCTTCCTTCCTTCCTTCCTTCCTTCCTTCCTTCCTTCCTTCCTTCCTTCCTTCCTTCCTTCCTTCCTTCCTTCCTTCCTTCCTTCCTTCCTTCCTTCCTTCCTTCCTTCCTTCCTTCCTTCCTTCCTTCCTTCCTTCCTTCCTTCCTTCCTTCCTTCCTTCCTTCCTTCCTTCCTTCCTTCCTTCCTTCCTTCCTTCCTTCCTTCCTTCCTTCCTTCCTTCCTTCCTTCCTTCCTTCCTTCCTTCCTTCCTTCCTTCCTTCCTTCCTTCCTTCCTTCCTTCCTTCCTTCCTTCCTTCCTTCCTTCCTTCCTTCCTTCCTTCCTTCCTTCCTTCCTTCCTTCCTTCCTTCCTTCCTTCCTTCCTTCCTTCCTTCCTTCCTTCCTTCCTTCCTTCCTTCCTTCCTTCCTTCCTTCCTTCCTTCCTTCCTTCCTTCCTTCCTTCCTTCCTTCCTTCCTTCCTTCCTTCCTTCCTTCCTTCCTTCCTTCCTTCCTTCCTTCCTTCCTTCCTTCCTTCCTTCCTTCCTTCCTTCCTTCCTTCCTTCCTTCCTTCCTTCCTTCCTTCCTTCCTTCCTTCCTTCCTTCCTTCCTTCCTTCCTTCCTTCCTTCCTTCCTTCCTTCCTTCCTTCCTTCCTTCCTTCCTTCCTTCCTTCCTTCCTTCCTTCCTTCCTTCCTTCCTTCCTTCCTTCCTTCCTTCCTTCCTTCCTTCCTTCCTTCCTTCCTTCCTTCCTTCCTTCCTTCCTTCCTTCCTTCCTTCCTTCCTTCCTTCCTTCCTTCCTTCCTTCCTTCCTTCCTTCCTTCCTTCCTTCCTTCCTTCCTTCCTTCCTTCCTTCCTTCCTTCCTTCCTTCCTTCCTTCCTTCCTTCCTTCCTTCCTTCCTTCCTTCCTTCCTTCCTTCCTTCCTTCCTTCCTTCCTTCCTTCCTTCCTTCCTTCCTTCCTTCCTTCCTTCCTTCCTTCCTTCCTTCCTTCCTTCCTTCCTTCCTTCCTTCCTTCCTTCCTTCCTTCCTTCCTTCCTTCCTTCCTTCCTTCCTTCCTTCCTTCCTTCCTTCCTTCCTTCCTTCCTTCCTTCCTTCCTTCCTTCCTTCCTTCCTTCCTTCCTTCCTTCCTTCCTTCCTTCCTTCCTTCCTTCCTTCCTTCCTTCCTTCCTTCCTTCCTTCCTTCCTTCCTTCCTTCCTTCCTTCCTTCCTTCCTTCCTTCCTTCCTTCCTTCCTTCCTTCCTTCCTTCCTTCCTTCCCTCCCTCCCTCCCTCCCTCCCTACTTCCTTTTTATGCACTAGATAAATTGGTAGGACACTTGCACATTTAAAATCTCAGGATAATAAAGGAAATTATTTCCTCAGCAGCCACTACTGTGGGTGTTTCTTAAAACACCTCATGATTTGGAAAGTAATACTCACTGTTCTGACTGCCATGTACAACTGTAACTGTGGACGTTGCAGTCTGACAAATATGTATAGAGGTTGATATTATTTTTAGATCTTTTAACTGCACAGATTAATTTTTTATTTCCTGTTTTAGTTGTTGTCTTAATATTATTGTTTTAGACGTGTATATAATTTTTTCATTGTGACGGAGCTGGTTAGTGCTTATTTAGCTGTGAACTGTAGACATGAAAAAGCAGGTTAATCAAACAAAAGCCAAGATTCCTTAAATAATAAAACAGTAGGCTACCAAACAAAGCACATGTATTAAATAAAAAGGATAAAATAATGGACAGAAATACCCAATTAATTTAAAAAAAAAAATCGTGATTTGGAAGAACCATCTCTTTCAAGTAAAAATTCAACAAAAGAGTTGAATCTTCCCCGCTTTCCTATTTGTATGAATCAGAGGGCCTGCCACATGCAAATATGTTTGAGGACTTTTTAAAATCTGCATACACAGTAATGTCTATATCAGTCAATTGGACAGTGTCGAGGCATGGTTGCAGGCATTTATATTGCTAAATTGTTAGAACAGCGACTGGTATGCATTTTGGTAAGGACTAACTAGTACTCTACCAAACAATTTCTGGACACCTTTTGGCAATTAGGCCAGTCTAGGAAACTTTTCACTAGGCTCTTTGGATATGGCCGCCTCGCGTAGGGCGAGAGAGAGTGTAACTAGGGGCGTAGAGAGTGTAACTAGGAATATGGCCAGACCATGCCACTTGACCTCAGGGCTGGAGTATAGACTTTGTACTGTTTGATTTACTAGTGTAAATGTAGCCATTGTGTTTATTTGCCTAACTGGCTGGTGAATGCATGTTTCAGCAGTCACTCTAAACTTCACCTACAGAGTAGTTGTAGTTATGTAGTAGCTCTGTGCCTGGAGAAGTGTGGCTACTAACTGAAGCAGCAGACGTGCCTGAGTTCAGCTCCAGATGTTCCTGGTTTGAGCCATGGTATTTCAAGCCAGAAGATAGCCAGGACAACAAATACTCATTCTCTGGATTTTTAAGAGTTATCAGAAGCTTGGGATGAATTGACTTAACTGTGACGAGCCCCCTTCTTCTCCTCTTCTTCCTCCCCTTCCAGTCTGGGGGGATCCAACATTGACTAAGTTTTGTGTCTGGAGTCTATAATAACCCATCTGGATTTGGACCCTCTGTGGATTTGCACAAAGGGGAGACCTTGTGACACATGCTCACTTGGGCATATACTCACTCAGTTACAATTTGTGAAAATGATCTATTATGATATATAAAGTGATCTGTTGTTCATACAATACTGACGTCATTAGAAAATCACCACTTCGTACATTTTATTTATTCCAGACAGCAAAGATTTTCCTTTAGTACTTTAAAGTAGACTTTCTTCCCAGAAGTCATGTAAGAGAGAAACAGAGAAAAAAAGAGAGAATAAAATACTGCAGTTTGCTGAACTATTGTGAAGAGAAAACATAGTGGAGTCAGAAATTCTGCAAGGTGAGATGTTGATCATGCTGAACCAGACACCTGCATTAATCACAGCATCCAAAGATGGTGTAGTTAAACCTCTGGCTTTTAAAAGTTGCTCAAACTGATACGATTCTTCAGATACATTTTTGCAGGCAGGAAATGCAACACAGTAAATGCTGAGCTGATCTGAACATTCAACAGGCTTTAATGAGAATACACTTACCACCAAGTAGATGCTGTGTTTCTTTATATTATTTTAACGTAGTTGCTTTTGTAAAGTCTGCATACAGTAGCTCTTAATGTTTACCTTTTGCTTTTTAGAGTGTTTTTCTTTTTGCTGGTTACAGCTTATTTTTTATCAATGCATTGCTCTTTTTACAAGTCCCTTTTAGTATGAGTTTTTATGACAGAATAAAGTACCGAAGTTTTGCCATTAACTTTAGGGGGATCCGGACTGTGCTATTTTTACGAGTTGGCCACCGATGCTTTGTGAGGAAACACAAAGGTAAAGCATGCGTGAGAGATACTGAGCAGCCCA